CTTATGCGTATAAATAACACATTCTCTGCTGGTTTGCCTATTGTTCATTCGAATGCAGAGTTTTCAGCTTTAGTAAACTCAAACACTTTAGCAAACATAAACTTAACCTTAGTTGACGCAAACTTTGTTCCTGTAAAACTTTTATGTCCTATGTATTTGTCAATGACGGCAGAAAGTTTCGAATTGGAAGATGCAACTGGTGAAAGTATTGTATTACAAGAACACTTCAACAACAAATAGCTAAGAGAACCAACAAATGCAACAAATGCAAAACAAAGTCAAGAATAAAAAAAATTTTTTTTTATTTTTTATAAAAATGTACAGAATAGATGTTTCAGATTTTTATGACTTCCACACATTCAGAAATATGTGTCCATTTCGAGACTATAACAAAGCAGTCGAGAATTTGAAACGTTTAGTCATTTATGTCGACTCTGCCCGAGAATGTTATGTTATGAAAGAATGGGATGTAGTCTTAACAAACCTAAAGCGACAATAGTTTCAGAACAAGAATGTAGACAGAACTTAAGAAAAATAAAAGTCGTACAAGTTGGCATAGAAGATGTTAGATGCTTGGGATATCTTATGTTCAAAACTTGAAGATTTTTCAGTTCGTGGTATAAAGTGTTTATACACCATCTCCAAACTTCTATTCTATCTTCACTGGATATAAATATGAACAAGTAGAATGGAAAGAAAATATTATAGAAGCTTGGTTAGACCATGTCAAAGAAATTATATGCAATGGAAACGAAAAGGTTTATGAGTATATCTTATGTGGTTTGCAAAACATCTTACAACATCCAAGTGCTAAGAATGAAACTGCTCTCATTATAATTGGAAAACAAGGAACAGGTAAAACACATTCTTTACAGATATCTTATGCAAACTGTTAGAGGGCTATTCGAACCCTAATATGACAAACTTAGAAAACATCTGCGGTAAATTTAACTTCAATAGAGAATATGAAACTTATAGTATGTAACGAACTTCAAAGTATAGATTAACAAAAAGTTTTGAACTCAGATGCTTTGAAGAGTCTTATAACAGACAAAGTTGGAGTGTTTGAAAGAAAGTATAAAGACCAAAGAGTTTGTGAAAATGTTGCAAACTTCATTATGGTTTCAAACAATGCTGTTCCGATGAAGTTAGAAAGTTCTGACAGAAGATATGTAGTTGTCAGAACGTCAGATTCTCATATGCAAGATACGAATATTTTTGACGCTTTGTCAGAAACTTTGACATCTGACTTTTACAACCACTTGTTCTCTATTTTATGACATTAGATATTTCAAAGTTCAATCCAAGACAAATTCCACATACCGAAGAGAGACAAACATTGTTAGAAGCAAACAAGAGTGTATATGAACTGTTCATAGATGAAACTGACTTGATGTTTTAGATGAAAGGTCATTGTACGATTCGTATAAACAATATGTTCAAGAATATGGTTAATGACAGCGTCTAAACGAACATTCTTGGCAAATGTCAAAAGTCTTTTAGACGTACAGAATGGTGTTATATACAAAGAAAATTTTTCTGAGTAAATTTAAAAAAAAAATTTTTTTTATCCGATAGAAAAGATGACAAAAATTCATCTTCAGTAAACAAGTACATGTCAGGACTTAAAGAGAACTAGACCCATTCACATATTTGAATGTTACTCTACCATTTTGAAAAGTCTTCATTCAGCAAAGTTTGGAACATCGAAACCAGTTAAGTTTGCTATTGTGACTAAATGGTGCGAAATTTGAAGACTTAGACATAGAAGGTTTGTTAACAGTCAAAGAAGTTTTGACAGAAGTTTTCAACCTTAAAGAAGGCAAAGCATACAAACTTGTTATACCTTATGAACCAAAGAAAGCAGAACGACTATGAATATTATGAGTCTAAGATAGTTGAAGTTCAAGGTAAATTGGGATAAAAAGATTTTAGAGTCTAAGCAGTGTTTGCTCCTAAAGGAGAAGAGACATTGACATTGACCAGAAATGTTCTAAAAATAAAATTTTATTTTTACATGTCAAATTTCTTCTTCTCTGGCTCGGGTTCTTCTTCTCTTTTCTACTTTCTTTTCTTTTCTTTTCTTTTCTTCTTTTCTGGTGGTTATGTCAAACTTCTCAGAACCATATTTTTGTAAAAGTTCTTTGTCCTTTAATAGCTTTCTATTTGTTTTCTATTTCATCTTCAAGAACAGTGCATGTGTCTTCTTTGCATTCTAAGAAGTTTTGTTGGACTTCATCTCTCCAAGAGGCGTCATCTCTGTCAACACGTCTGTCATTGACAAATTTTAAGACTGCTCTGCTTAATGTTTTATGGTTCTTGTCATATTCCAGAAACAGAACTTTAGAACAAATTCACCTTTCTTGTTTACACTATGTAAGATTTTATGGTCTACAGATGTTTTGCTGTCAAAAAGTTTGTCTCGAATATAGATAGCGAAATCGCTAGACATTTTTCTAAAAGATAAAAATTTTAATTTTTCTAAAATATATGTTAGAAAAAAAGTTGCTGACATTGACAAAAATTTGAGAATGTTTTAAATAAAACAAGAGGAAGTTGGAAAATGCTCAGATAAAACCCATACATGACAAGTTCTTATTTGCTCAGAATGGTATAACAAGGTTCTAATTGCACCACCTGGGTCGGGTAGACTTTCACTTATCTTAAAAATGGCTACACAACACAGAACTAGATGAGAAGAACCCATTTTATTGAGTTGTAGTCATTTGTAGTACTTCTGGTCAATTTGACCACCGTCAATTCGTTCAAAGAGATATAAAGAAGTCTAAGTTAGTATGTATAAAAGACTCTGAGTTGTTAGATTGGATAAAGAAGTACCAAAGAAGAGTTTTGAAGTATTAATGCTATAAATGAGTATATAAATTCTAAGTTTAAAGACCCAAATGAGGAAATGCAGAGAATATTAGAGAAGAAACACTTCAGAAACAAACAGAAAGAGATAGAATACATTTCGAAGAAATTGCAATCTTACGATTGGAAAACGCCCTCATATGTCTTCTTATCTTAGATGACTTTGCTTCTTCCATCCTTTGTTAAAGAATAGAGAAAAGACATGTGTCGAATTTCTATAAGAAGCTCAGACACTTTAACATTTTCAGTTGTCATTTGTGTACAGACAGCAAAGAGTTTAATAAGGATGTAAAGAGATACTCTCTACTGACATTGTACTTTTCCCCGGATTGTCCGAAGACGATTTCATGGAACTTTATGAAAGAGTCCATGGCAGGTAAGTTTGACAGACATTGAAACTATGGGAGAAGTACAAAGTCATACAAGACCCTCATACTTCTTTCAGAATTCATATCTTTACGCAAACAAAGTTCAATTGTAAAAGTTCAAGCGTAAAAATAAAGAGCTTCCAATACTCTGCATGTATTGAACAGTGTCACCAAATCCATACTTGCATATAAATTTTATTCCTAATTAACAATTAGAGCATACCAACTCCTTCTTATATGAACACGAGGTAAGAACTATGCATAACAACCCCAAATCTTCATTCTATCATAAGTGTGCGTTTCCGAACCACACCACACCCACCACCAGGTAACGTCAATCTCCTCTTCGAAGATACAAATGATTACTCGATTTTACTTTGCGAAAACATTTTTTCACATGGTCCGGGTACAGTATATATTAAAAGTTCTAGTAAAAATGACATTATTATTGATAAGTTCTGTTCATTTGAAAGTAAAACTCCTTCAAAAGGTCAATTTGCTTATTTCTCGAACAATATCAGCAGTACAATCCTCCAAGGATCAATTTTTAATGGAGGAAATAGTTCAGATGATGCAATGATTTACCAGAGAAGTAGTTTTGTATCACTTTCAAAAATAAACGTTTCTAAATGTATTATTAGCTTGTGCGGGTTTTAAATATGATTATGTTGAATCAACAGTAAATGTTTCATTTTGTAATTTTGAGAATTTAAACGCAACTGACGGATTGATTACTGCTTTTTCTTATTCTCCAGGAATAATAGACAAATGTAATTATATAAATAATTCTCAAGATGGTATTTCAGGATTAGTTTATGTTTTTTGGAATAGACTTGATATTTACAATTCATCTTTCCAAAATAATAACAATGGAGTTTTATTTGAAGGATACAGTGATTATCAATGTAGTATTGATTCATCTTTGCCTCTTACAGATCATGGAACAGTTTATACATCAGATCAAGGAACAGAATCTTTTAAAAATAATTTAAAGTTCATTGACTTAAGTCCATGTGAAGGAGATCTTGAAATCGTATTATTATTTGTACCAAAGAAAGGAAATAAAATTTGTTCATTTTGTCCATCTATAAATTTTCTTTTTGGTAAATTTTTTATTTCTGTTTTGTTATTTAGTAAAAGATAAAAAATTCGAAATCATTTATTATGAAAATAAAGGTGAATATCCCAATATTGTCCAGATGTTCAGCTTATATGATTCTTTAAATTTATTGACTTAAATAAAATCATTGATTATGTTTGAGGGTTTGCAAATGGTTCATTCTCAATAATGATTACATTGAGAGAGGGTTCAATCCTGGTTTCTAATATTATTGGTAAGGATTTAAATTGAGTATAATTTGTAGTTTTCTGTATACATATATTGATATATTTATCTATTTTCCTGCACATAAGATTGCATTTACATCTTTCTGTCATTGTCTCAATTTTTTTGACACTAAAGCTATATAGGCTGATATATTTTTCTGCTATTTAAGGGCGCACTTACCACTTTCTGACATTCTCTCAAATTTCCTGTTTAAGGTTTTATTTTTTATGCCTCTTCACGTCCGTATATCTCTTTTTGAGAGAGTGTCAGAAAGAGGTAAGTGCATCCTTAATTTGCCTTTAAATACAAGATAACTATTCTAAAAATTAAAGGAATAATTACTTACCTAATTTGGCCAATATCTTGCAATATCTAGCAAAACACTTACCTTGACGATACAAACAGTTTGGTCAGAAAGGTACCTTAAAAATTTAATGAGCGAATGCCAAAATTTAACAAGACATTATGATATACTTCTACATATGTGCAAAGATTATATTGATGCATTTAATTCTCTTTACACTATTAAATCTAATACAGAAGAAGAAATTGATAAAGTTTACGAAAAGATTAAAAAGAATTTACTAGAAAACAAATTATTTTCACCAGAAGAAATTATTATTCAAATCCAATTTGCTTGCGATTATAGAATAGGTTATTTAAGAGCGTATTGGGAAATATTCAAAAAGATATACCACGAATATGGCATCAAACATGATTATGATATTAATCCGAAGTTTGCTTTTCTTTTATATAAAGAATATGACTTTATTTTGGATACAGGACTGCTTTACGAATTTAATAAAATGAAATATAAAAAATTCACGGTAGATGTTTTCCAAGAAAATTCGATTAATTTTGCCATTATGAAAGATGATGTTGCTAAATTAATTGAATGAACAGAATTAACAGAAAATCGAGAGGATTTTAATTATTTAAAAAGCATTCATTATCCTAAGTCAGGCAAATATTCAATGCTTGAAATATGTTGTTTACATGGTGCTGTTAATTGTTTCAAATTTTGTTTATCTGAATTCAAGTTCGAAATAACACAATATTGCATTAATTTTGCTTTTTTGAGTGGAAATCCTGATATTTTGAATATATGTTTGAAAGAATTGGATGATAACAGTGATATTGATTTAGAGTCATGCATGAAATATGCCATTATTTCTCATAACGTTGATTTTGTTTCTTATTTAGTAACCGAAAGAGATCTCGATGTTGATATTGATATGTGTTTAAAATACAAAAACCTTCAAGCATTTTTAATATATTTTGATCAAAATAATTCAATTGAAAAAATAAACTTAGATAAAATCAGAAAATACACATGCATAACTCCATTATTTAGAATACCATCTTTAGTTGAATATTTCATTTCTAATGGAGGAAATATTGATTCAAAATACGAACAAGATCGAAGTATTCTTCATTATGCTATAATGAATAATTGGAATGAACTTGCAGAAATTCTTATTGCTGATGGTGCAAATGTTAATACAAGAGACAAAGAAGATTGCACTCCTTTACATTATGCAGCTGAAAAGGGGTGTATTGAAATTATAAAATATTTAGTTTCAAAAGGTGCAAATATAAATGCTGATGATAAAAATAAAAGAACTCCACTTCATTATGCTGCAATGCAAAAATCTTTTGAAACAATTAAAATTCTTCTAGAAAAAGGTTCTGATATTAATGCAAAGGATGTTAATGGATTCACTCCATTACTTTTAGCAATAAAAAATAATAAATTCGAAATTGCTAAAATACTTATTCAGAATGTGGCAAATCCAAATGTTATTAATAATAATGGAGAAACATCTCTTCAGATAGCTGCAACTCACGGAGGAAGAGAAATCATTGAACTTCTTCTTTCTCAAGGATGCATTATCAATGAAAGTGAATATTTAATTCATTGGGCAGCAACAAATAAAAATATTGGAACACTAGATTTTGTTCTAAGTCTTCATAATAATGTTAATGTAAGAAATTCTGAAAATAAAACTCCACTCCATTTTGCAGCACAAAATGGATCTATAGAAAATAATAGAACACTTATTTTTCATGGTGCAGATATTGAAGCGCATGATAATAAAGGGAACACTCCTCTTCATCTGGCAGTAGAAAATGAAGATGTTGCAAAATTTCTGATTGAAAATGGAGCAAATATTAATTCTGTCAATGAAAATGGTCAAACACCTCTAATATATTCTGACTTCCGATGCACAATTAATTTTTTAAAATATTATATATCTAAAGGTGTTGATGTTAATCAAAAAGATTTTAAAGGGAAAACACTTTTACATTATGCAGCTGCAGGAAAATTTTACGAAATAATAAAAACTCTTATTTCACTTGGCGCTGACATTAATGCAAAAGATAACGATGGAAATACACCACTTCATTGTAGTGTTAAAAAGATGCATGTGAAAACTGCTGATTTTCTTATTTGTAATTTTGCAGATATAAATGCAAGGAATAATAAAGGACGAACACCATTGCATATTGCTTCTATGTATAAAAATTATCAACTTATAGAATTACTGAAATTGCGCAATGCAGATGAGAGTATAATAGATAATAATGGAAAAACTGCAGATGATTATTCAATTATCTATAAAGATACTATTTTGACTGATTCTCTGCTTGAAAATGGTGAATGTAGAATTACCTGATCAATCAAATAAAAGAATGCAAGCTTCTCATTTGATTATGACCTCTTAGATCGACAAAAAAAAGTACTTCAATTTATTTTCATGATGAAATCATTAAATTCTCTATTTTTAACAAGATTTTCCTTCAATGTTGAGATGTGACGAACATGTTTTGAATGGATTCCTTGGCATAAAATTAATTCTTTGAGGAAATTTGCATACATTATGAAAACTCAAACCATATTCTTTTTCAAATCTCACGATTCTGCCAATAGCAATCCCTAAAATTTTTAGTGAATTTTTGGGCATATATTATGATGGAGAAAAAATTTGAAACAAAAATTTGACAATTTCCAAAAATAGCACAAAATATTGCCGGCCTACAAGTAATTAAAGCATCAGATGCAAGGAGAATGAACAGAAAAACTTTGGAAGTTATCCCTCCAAAGGGAAATGCCCCAAAAATTCCAAAATCTGCTCTTCCGAAACAACCTTTGCAAGTGAAGCCTATTTCTCAACTTGACAATGCTCCACAATCTCAATATGAAGGGATACAAAGTTATGATAGCCAAAGAATAGGAAATAGCACATTTACTCCTCCAAACAATTTACAATCTAATTATAGTTCACCAAATTCTTCAAAATTCTCATCTCCACTTCGAAAAACTCAAGTCCCAGAGCATAATTTTTCGAATTTTGTTTCAAATTCTTCAACATCTTATTATTCTGCAAATAAATCATCGCAACTACAATCAAACATTGAAACTATGTATACTGCATCACCACAATCATCATCTCATGCAGTTTTTGAAGATCCAAATCAGAAATCAACAAATACTCAACAAATTCCTGCATTTTCATCAGAAAGATCAACATTTAAAGCTTCATCTTCAACATTCCAAGCGAAACAAGATCCAGAAAATCAAAATAATTCAATTTCTATTTCTAATCCTTCAAATTCTGAAACAACGTCATCAAATTACCAACAACAATTTACAGGAAATACGAAATTCGTCATTACTCCTCCAGAACATAAAAAGTCATCTTTTGAGAAACCATTTGATGATGATTTTCTGAAAGATGACGATCAACAGCAAGAAGAATCTTTTACATTTGAGGTTAACGATGAATTTTCATCGAATGCAGGTCAAGAACAATTATCTGATATTCATGTTGACGATTTCGAACTTCCAACAAGTCTATTTGCAGACAACAATGATACAGAACAATCTAAACTCGAAACAGAACCAAAAGTTGAAGATAATAATTTTGATATTCAAAATGGATCAGAAAACATCGAAAAAGACAACAAAGAACCACATATATCTCAAAATGATCCAATTACAAACAAAGAAACTGAAGAAAAACCAGAAGTCAAAATTATTGCAGGATTTACAATTGAAAAATCAAACAAAAAAACAACTAATCAACAAATTGACGAAGAAGTACAATCAATTCCAGAAGATATGCTTGAAGACATGTTAGATATCTATCAAAGTATTGACAACAAAAATAATTCTAATGAAAACGAATCATTTGAAATTTGTCAACCAAGAAGAGAAAGTCTTAGCATCGGAAAACGAACAGGAAACGAAGAATCAGTTATAATTTCTTCAATTGACGAAGATGACTTTGATCCATTAAACGACATGATGGAATTTACAAACATTATGAATTTATCTGATTCAAGTGATATTTTGAACTCAAATGGAGATCCATTCTCAGATATCCCAGTTGAAGCACTTAAAGACATGCTTGAGATAGAAGATGACGAAACAGTTGAAGATTTTCGTTCACGAAATAAACCTAAAACATTTATAAAACCTAAACAAAACACAAAACTTAAACCAATTAAAAGTAAAAAACCAAAACCACAAAGTAAATCAAAAGAAGAAATTCCTTCTAAACCGAAAAAGAATTTTACACTTGAAACACCAAAAGTTCAAGAACTTAATTTACCTAAAGCTAAAACAATCACATTAGACAGAAAGATACAAAATGTCAATGTTATTCATGATGGTGGTTTTGTTGTTGAACGACGAACAGATCTTAATTTGATTGTTAGTGATTTTTCAAAACCATCTTCACAACAATTACCTCCACAACAAAATATATCAACAGAAAAGTTCTTCAATACACGTCCAACAGAAGGAACACAAATCGGCCAAAAACTTGTTGGTCAAACGAAGTCATTTGAATTCAATCCAAATGATCTTCCACCAGATTCATCAACACAAACACCAAAGATATCATCATTTGACTTCCAACCTTTATCACAAACAGCATCATACCAAGCTCCATCTTCATTGTCATCATTTGCTACTAAACAATCTATATTTAACAATCAGTCACAACAACAATTTCAACAACATCCTCAACTTGTTCAAAATAATAACCCTTATCCACAAATTATTCCTCCAACAGTACAACAACAATTTATTTCTCCTGTTCCTCCACAACAACAAATACAACAACAACTTCCTCAGGAAACACCAATTGTCAATGAAGATCCAACAAAGATATTGAAAGAGAAAACTAATGCATCAGCAGCACCAATTGAATTGATTGAAGAACTTAAGCGATTGCGTCATCAAGTTAATGAACAAGAGAAACGACAGAAGTCAAATACTCTTCCACCTGGTTTTGCAGTTAAATCTAAAGGTCCATTACCAGTTTTACCACACTTAGATGGTTCCGATCTTAAAACAGAAGGATTTCTTGAACCAGAAACATTCGGATCTAAAGAAGACGACATCGACGAAATTTCATTTAACAACACATCCAATCCTAGCTCTCGTAATTCAGCGATGAGTTCGAATTGGAGTGGTCCAGGAATGAACACAGTCCCTCCTCCACCTGTCATCACTATGAGTGACACCGATGTCTCTCCAACAAAGCGACACATTCGTACATCTATGAAAGATCGGAAGAACAGAGCAAATAACAAGTCCGAACTTATTTTGATGCAGAAGACATCTAAATCTAAGAAGAACACGGCACAAATCTTCAGTCTTATTGCTATTTGTGCTATTCTCGCCATCATTCTTGGAATCATGTCATTCTACTTCATGCCTTCTGTTTTGTAATAAATAATAAATAAAAACTCTTTTGAAGAATTTTCAGCACCATTTAAATAACTTTATCTTTCATAAAAAAATCTATTTTTATGTTTGAAGATTCTTATTGTTTACTGAATAACAAAGAAGGCATCAAATACATATCAGAAAGAAACTTTATGGATGTACATAATGAACAAATTTTATTATCCTTGATTCCGACAAATAATAATACTATTTCAAGATTTCCTTCACATGGACTTAATCCAACGAATGTTAAATTATTCATAAATGATTCTGTTCCTTGATCTGCTTCATCAACATTTCCTCTTTTTGAAAAACTATCAATACTGCATTGATGTATAATAACTTGTCCATCATATTCTCCATGAAGTAAAACTCCATTATTATTTTGTAGATTGTTTTGGAAAGATGAATGGAAAACATCAAGTTTATTATATCCACAAACAACTACTCCCCAGAAATCTTTTTCTTCAGAATTATTGATATAATTACATCGTTCAATAATTCCTGGGCATTTCCAAAACGTAGTAACCATACTATCAGTTGCATTTAAATTCTCAAAATTACAAAATGAAACATTTCCTGTTGAATTAAGAGTATAAAAATTGAAACCTGGTTTTTGTTTTGAAATGCAGTTTGAAAAATTTGTTTGTGAAAGTGATTCAACGCCATATCTCTGGGAAACAATACAATCTACTAAACCATTTCCTCCATTATAAATTGATCCTTGGAGGATTGTACTGTTGATTTTGCCATTGAGATAAATAACATGGCCCCATGAAGAAATACTATTTTCAAATGAACAGAATTTATCAATAATAACGTGGGTATGATTAGAACTATATATATATACTGTACCTGGACCTTGTGAAAAAACGTTTTCGTATAGCAAAATTGAGTAATCATCTGCTTTTCCGAATTTAACCGCCCTGTCTTGTAGGTTAATGAATTTGCAGATATAAATAAAGCATTTGTTTTCTGTTGCAATCGTTTTTTGATTCTCACATGTGATGACATTAGAAGGAGGACTAATATCTTCATAATAAAGACTCCAAACGCTATATTGATCTTCATCTCTATGATAATATTTTTTAAAATAAAATATTATAAAAGAGACAATGAGAGTTAAAATTCAATGATAAATAAAAAAAGTCACATTTTTCATAACGATTAAATATGTCAACATTGGTACAAAATCAAATTTCAACAACATACTCAATATTTTGAGATTAAAAAAATCTGACAAGAAAAACAATTCTTATCAAAAAATTGGGAAAACGGTGTGACTGACAGGACCCTACTTTAAATAAATGAAGCGTATAAAATATAAATCAAAAGACTAACCTATCAGTTTGTGAATTATTCCTTTACTGAGAATGAGAATACTTCTCATTCTCAGTAAAAGAGTTTAATTATGCTTCAATTTCTGATTTGAAGATCTCATATTAATTTTGAAACCTTAAAACTTGATTCAAAACGCAAAAATCATGAATCATTCTTATTATTGGTTGATTTATGATTACAATTGTTGAATATATTTGAAGAAATCGACTTTTTGACTTTAAGGGTGGCGGAAAGTGATGTGACCGAATAACAAAAAGTGAAAATAACTAAATAAATATTTGAAATTCTTTTGTTATTGTAGCATAACTAAATAGTATATACAAATAAGTCTTTACTACATAGTTTGTATAGTCTGAAGTCTTTATCTGGTAGAGAAATAATGAATGAAAAAAATGAATTTTCAACTGTATCTAGTCTCTGGTTATTGAATTAATATCAAAAATACTTAAGGTATGCAATATAGGTACATAAATCTATCTTTTCTATTAAGCAAAACCCGTATCTATTAAATTCGTCCAAGATGTAATAAGTGATGAGATCTGGAACTACTTATCAATTTTGCACAAAATCAATGTATGAGAATAAATAACATATAAATATCAATTACTTCCGATACTTTTCGTTACAATTTGCTCCCATTCAGAGTTTAATTAGATTTGTATCTAGTCTTTCAATATAAGATATGGAATCTTTCTTTATATTTAAATATATATAAGCTATTGTTATCTATATTTTCTATTGAGTAAATTTTGTGTTTAAAGCTCCAATCATGAGATATTTAAAGTTTTTCATCCCTATCAAACGTATAATTCACATATTTATCATAGGAGGGAAAACCAAAAGCTTTCATATATGATAATAAAATTAAGGCACACATATACTACTACAAATAAATTTTGTATCCATATAATTTTTACCAAAAGATATCAAAAATATGATGAGATAATAGCATTTTATTTTTGGTCATTCACTTCACTTTCCGCCACCCTTAAATGAAATTCATTCATCTTAAAAAAATAACATAAAAAATGATGAGGAGATAAGCATTAAATCAGCTATAATATAAACTTTGCAAAGAGTTTAAAATCACGTAATATAATTAGATATAATAAATTAATGCTTCATAAGAATTATCAAACAAAGATAGTTTATTATATGTTATTGTGCTGTCTTTTCTTCGATTTTTTCTTCTGAATTTGCTTTATCATTTTGTGTTTCTGGTTTTGTTTCTTCTTGTTGTGAATTATCAGGTTGCTCTTCTTTAGTATTTTCTGGTTCAGGTGCTTTGTCCTGTGGTTTTGACTTTGCAGCCTTTTTTTCGTTGTATTCTTGAAGTTCTGCTTCAAGGCCTTTGATAGTATCGGCAAGTTCTTGTTCTTCCTTAGATGTATCCAATTTCTTGTAGCCTTCGACAATTTCTGTAATTTCTTGGCAAAATTCGGAAGCATCTGTAGAAAGAGCAGTGCAACTTGCCGTGTATAAGACTAAGAAGCAAGGAAGAAGTGAATTAGATTCTGTGTTTGTCTTCTGGAACTCTTCGACAAACTTAAGTAAATGTTCTTTCTCTTGTTCAATATTTTCTAATGTTTCTTCATTACGAACATCTTTAATATCATCTTGGTATTGGTTGAATAACTTTTGAGTATGAGAAAACTTATCTTCTAAGTCTTTGATTGAATTGATTGTTGGAACGATTTTCTTTACGAATGTAGAAAATGAGTTAGCGAACCTAGCACCAGAGTTTACAAAGCGTTCGTATATCGGGCGAAGCTCTTCTGGGCTACTTTTGGCAAAAGCAAAAAAAGATTTTGCAAAATAGTCATGAAGATCTGAAGAAACGTTTTCAAGAGCTTCGTTCTGCTTTTTGATAGCTTTTTCTAATCGAGGAAGATGCTCTGGTTTAGGAAGAGGCGGAACAACACTCTTCAACATAAAAATTTTTTTTTGATAAAAAAAATTTTCAATCGTCAATTTTAATAAAATTAGTGGCGCGCAGCATCACTCCCTTCTTGGCAAAATCAAATTTAGCCATTTGGAGTTGTCGAAAGCATATTTTCATGACTGGCATCCATCCTTATAACTTGATTTGAATTTTATTTGCTTTACGCGATTGAACCTTCAAATAATCTAAAGACAACACAATTGTTGATGTAAAAAGCTTCCAGCACTCTCAAACGATAGTAGTTATCCGGATTTCATTTTGAAATTGATATCTATAGGCATCTTCCCAGATGAAGAATTTTTTTTTACTTCAATTCAAAATATTCTATGAAACTATTCAAATCATTATTTTGAAAGTTGATTTGCGAAAAAGAACATATGGGATCTGTTTTTGCAGATGTTCCGGCTTTTTCTGGCAATATAATTCCAAAATTAATATAAGCAAGTTTATCGACTTTGTTCCTGCAGATCATACATTCATACAATTGCAATACAACTCTCCGATTAATCAGCAAGAAGATTTCTTTAAATATTATAAGAATCCGAAATATACTCTTGCTTGGAATCAAGAAGCAAGGCAATTAAATCAAACATACATAGAAGCATATCAAGTATATGTTAATGGCATAGGTGGATTCTCAATAGAAAATAATTTTTACACAATGCGTTACTTTCCACGCTGGAAAAACGTTGAAAGACTGCGAAATTTTACAGGAAATGTAGTGTCACATTATCCTCATGTAATTGTTTTAGGATACAATGAATGCATTCGAAAATTTTGACATTTAGTCGAAGATTTCTTTCAACCTTTTGTATTATTACCACAAGAAGTTATTTCTACAGCACACGTTCTTTGTGCTGGCTTTCAGCCAGTTCTCGATGAATTTTTAGATATTTTTTCAATTCCTCAAGAACGAAGAATCAAAATTAAGAAATCAGATTGGATAGCATGCGATAAGATATACACATATATAAATCCCCTTATTTATCTCAACTTTTATGGCATTGCTACGAAACAATTAAAAATTTTATTTCATGAGACATATAAACTTGACAACATCACTGCAACAAGATATTGTTTAGGCAATAGAGGATATTACAAGCCTAGGTATGTTCATAATTTTGATGAAGTCTGCAATAGCGTTCGATTACGTTTTCCAAACATCAAATGGGAGATACTTACAGATGATTGTTACAGTTTATCTGATGCAGCCAAAGCGTGGTCAAGTGTGAAGTTTCTTTTTGCTCCAACTGGCTCGAATATCGTTAAATGCATCTTTATGAAGGACAAAACATTCATAATCTGTATAGGAACACATATGCCAGACTACTCCATTGCAATATTTACGACCGCATGCAATATTTATAGTATTCACTATTTTGGCTTGAGATGTATGCATTTGAGTGGAAATGGAACTTCTATCAATGCAGAGCTTGTAGTGAAAATGATTAATTACGGCATTGATTTTCTTCAAACTCATAAATGGCCCAAAAATTCCGGATTATAATTATAATTATAATTTTTGATTTTTGTTATTGTAATAAACAGAAATTCATCAAAAGTGACAGCTCTCAATTTTTTGACATTTGTAAATTCTAAATTGAATGAGAAAAATGAAATAATACTAAGCATAATACAATATTCTAGATTTAATTATAATTAGGAAAAAGTTAGTTTTGAGAGTACTTTTCATAGGCATATAGAATGAAATCTTCTGAAAAATAATATCACATAAACTCATATTATTTTCTAATATATAACTATTTTATATAAAAATCAAATTCAATGATCTTAAAAGCGAAGGATAAACCACAAAATTTACGAATATAATGAGTGGGAATATAATGCTTATCTATCATAAAACCATATGAAATATCAATTTTTGCTTTACGCCTAATTTTTGACGACAATTAGCAAAAAATGTTAAATGTTAACACTCAGTCCATTTGAATATGAAAAATAAAATTGACTTTGATTAAATGTTTTTATTTATCATGCAATTCTTCTTGCGACCAAAGATTTGAATAAAAGTTCAAAAAATAAGATAGCTTAAAAAATAATATACGGTAGTGTTTACTAATAGATGAATAGTATATAAATTCTATTAAAATGGATTTGATCCAAAAAAATATATAAAATTTGATCATAAATAAAATCGTTTTAAATTACTTCTTCATTTAAATTATAACAATTATTTTTGGTTTTATATTTTTTTGGATCAAATCCATTTTAATAGAATTTATATACTATTCATCTATTAGTAAACACTACCGTATATTATTTTTTAAGCTATCTTATTTTTTGAACTTTTATTCCAAACCTTTGGTCGCAAGAAGAATTGCATGATAAATAAAAACATTTAATCAAAGTCAATTTTATTTTTCATATTCAAATGGACTGAGTGTTAACATTTAACATTTTTTGCTAATTGTCGTCAAAAATTAGGCGTAAAGCAAAAATTGATATTTCATATGGTTTTATGATAGATAAGCATTATATTCCCACTCATTATATTCGTAAATTTTGTGGTTTATCCTTCGCTTTTAAGATCATTGAATTTGATTTTTATATAAAATAGTTATATATTAGAAAATAATATGAGTTTATGTGATATTATTTTTCAGAAGATTTTGTGTTCTTCTTCAAAATTTTATTTTTTTTATTAAAAAGAATCTTTACAAAATATACATTTACTTTAATTAATATTTAAAAACGTGCTCTATCAAAAGTTCCAAAAATTCAATATTTTAGCTTTTCTGAGGTGTCACTTTTGATGAATTTCTGTTTACAACATTATATCTATAAATTGACTTGTAATAGTTAAAATATATTTTATTTGAGTTGTTTTAAAATATGTTTTATTTGAGTTGTTTTAATCGTCGTTCCTTTTCTCAAAAAGTGACTAATATATTTTGAAAATTATTTTTCATGAGAAATTAATTTGATTTCATGACTAAATCTAAATTATACATGGCACGGCGGGCGCAAAAAGTGACAAAATAGAATACCTATGGTGGCAAGACAAAGGAAACATTTTTGTAAGGCAAACATTATATCAAATACCTTTACTTTGTAATAAGAAATATAATTATCACGAAATTACAAATAAATATTGTTTAATATAATTAATAGCAAAATTCTTTTTTATTATTTCCCTTAAGACCGTACTTATTAAGTATACGTATAACAAGCTTGTACTGCATGTATTAGTTAATAGAACAAAAGAAAATGAGCTCAAATGAAAAAAATTTTCATGCTATTTTGGAAATATGCATATTCGAAGTATGAGAGTTGTAAACACTGAGAATTTTAAGCTTTGGTTGATGATAGTCTTTAATTTTTCTTGAAGTAGTAAATTATTTGATATGAAAATTTAATGGCCAGCATAATCAATCGTGCGTTTCGTTTCTTGATTGAGAAACGATGATTGTGTGCTAATGATTATGGATACCTGACCATTATCAAAAAAATTGGCCTTGATTTTTGAATACTTTACAAGCGCCCCTCCCAGTGGGCGCGGGCGCAAGTGATCGGGTCAAAAAAAATCATAAAAATATTCAAAATTGCAATTTTAATAGATGTTTAAGAAGTAAATGTATTAATAACGATATTTCATAGTACAAAATGTGTTCAATCTCTTCGTAAATCATTCAAAAAAATCAAAAGAATTTCCAAAATTCAATTTTTTTAGTAAAATTTATATCTTCTTCTATCGTCTCCTCCCCACCAGTGGGAGCCACCGGAGGCGCGGGCGGCGCCGCTGGCGCCAAAAAAGTAGCGCCCATCGTGCCATGTATAATCTAAATTATATTAAACGATCATGTCAACATTATTTACATGAGTCAACACTCAGAAATGCGTATAGAACGAATTCAAAAGCTCTCTTTGGAACTTCAACGAAGTTTTTCAGATTATTACGATGCTGTTGATCCTACTATTAAAACAGAGAACGAAACTATATTTGGAAGTAGTGGTAATTACTATATTAATCATGCAATATTTTCATTCCATTACCAAAAACGAGCAATTTTCCTTAAATCCAACAGCAAAGCGTTACTCGAAACATGCACATTTTACAATAACAGCTCCACAGGAAAGGGTGGATCATTCTATATCGACAATTCTGACTGTGTCTTAGTTCATATTTGTTTATTACTTTCATCAACTACTAATGTTGGATGTGCATATTACATTGATTCATCTTCTGATAGTAACAAAAAAATTATGCATTTGAATGTTCAGTTTCAGAATGCAGCGGAAACATTGTTTCTCTTTATCATAAGTATGGAGGTATCCAAGTAAGTAACATGAATACATCTTATCACAAAATTACTTCTTTTGCTGGGTATGTACTTGAAAGACCAACAGGAACAGGAATTATGAATTTCACAACAGCTTCGAATTCATCATCTACTCAAACATGTGTAATTTACAATGCTGGTAATTTTAATATTACAAAATGTAATTATTTAAACAATGAATATACAGGAAGTGATAGTGCAATAATTTATTGTTCTACTTCAACTTCATATTCAAATTGTTCATTCATAGGAAACAAAGGAAACTATTTATTTTTAAATAAACCAATTATTGATAATTGTTACTTTGATGAAAACAATTTCACTCAAACTGTAAGTAATAATCCAGTTACTTTTGAATCAATTCAACCATTTGATTTCCATATATCTCATTATTCAACAGAAAAATGTTCTGCTACATATTTTTATAATAAAAAACATTCATTTAATGAAGAATTTATGCAATTAAAGAAAATGAGATATATTTATCGAAGACGTTGAAGAAGAAGAATCAGACCTCGAGGATATTCTAATTGGCCAATTAGATTGAGAGTGTCTACTAAAAAAATCTCAATATTCAACAGATAAATGTCCTGGTATAAAGATTTTTATAATAATCCTCTAAATTTAGAATTAAGGATATCCTTCCATAAAAATACTTGAAATATATTATTATTATTATGGTAAAACTTTGGGTCTCTAGATCGCTTTCCATATCGAGTTGAATGATTTTTAAATTTTCAAATAAATTCTGAAGAGTATTCAAAAGTGTAAAAATTTCAAAATATAAATATTACCTTATTTCCACTAAAATAATCTTTAGTTGCAAGTAAATATTATTATTTCTTAATAATTATGATACTTTCTCTATACTTACACTAAATACATAGCACTTTTTTAGAATATCCGTTTTCAATTTCCAATCAATGCAAGAATAGGCCACAGCAATGACTTTTGTTTGGTCTAGTTTATGTACACTTTCATAAATCTGTGTGCCAAAAATCCAGAGATTCTTCCATGATTAATTAGACAATTATACAATCATGCTTTTATTTTTAAAGTAGTCAAGTTGGTACCAATGGATTTGTATTAGATTATAAAATATTGTATTTCTCTGATATTGTTTGTATATGTGAGCAATTCCTCATGTTACATATTCTTGAGTTATATCTTTTATAAATTGAGAGGAAAATCAAAAAAAATTGAATTGGGTCCATTCAATTTTTTTTAATCTAATATCTTCATGAATATTCTTTTTTTATCATTACCATCAATATAGTAGAACATCAATGGAATTTAAAATATTGTGACTGATTGATATTTTTATTTTATTCAATTTTGGCTATAAATCAAATCTGATTTTTATGAAAAACAACTATTATACAAAAGTTTTTCTAGTGTTAGTATCTTATAAGAAATTAATATATATATGGGCAAAAAAAGTTTAATAAACATTATTAAGGGTCCACGGTCCGGCCAAGCGAAGGATATCGTTAATGTTCAAAATTTATATGGAAAGGCCCATATCTATTTATAGATTCTGATTTGATATCATATTTGTATACTATTTTTAATATAATTTTTGATTTTCGTTAACCAAGAAGCTCCAAAAAAAAACAATTCAAGTTGAAGGCGATAACGATAATTCTGATTTTAGCATTCAATTTTTGAATAGTATTGAAAATGTACCGTGGACCCTTAATAATGTTTATTAAACTTTTTTTTTGAAATGCATATTTCACTTACGCCTATCTGACTTTAACTCAAATTTTTGACAGCTGGTGTCATTGAAATTTAACATTATATATCCGAATTTAAGGATATATCATAGGGGCATCGTTGCATCCTTAAAATGCTACTTAAATCGTCATAGAATTGAATCTAAACTGCAAGTCAAAAGGAGTATAAATCATCTTTTTGAGAAAAAGTTAACAATTATATGAGTTTCTCTCAATAAGTCAATTTCTGCCAGATCTCTAATTCGAATACTCTCTTTGGATCGCAAAAATCATTCCTTCTAATTCGATATAATAACAAAGAATCATAAAACATGAATACATATAGGATGGGCGATCACGATATTTAAATCATGCTTCCAATCGGAAACTTAAGCATAACTAGAATCCACTATACTTGTTATATCATGTGAATCTTATTCGGATTCTAATATTTGATAATTTTCTTTCATTCTGAAATTAAATCACAAAAATATGAAAAAAAAGTAATTAAAAAAAGAGATGGAATTGAGTATAAGGTTGAAACATGATTAATCCAAGATGAGACGTTAAATTAAAAAACATTTGAACAGCTAAAGTTCCATAGGTATAAGATAGTCATTCTATGACTATTCGTACTTCGGAATTATTAACTGTTCTTTGTCTCATCTGGACCAATCTCCGGAAATTGCTTTCCATCAAGGACTGGGGTCACATAGTGACCGAGATAAGATCACGAACACGTTTATTTACAGAGTATTAATAATTAGTTAGACTTGATTTGCTTTCCTTCCTTGTCAACTGTGTAATGGCAGTTGCCGCAGTATTGGCGACCATCTTTGTGTTTAGCAAGGAAGCAGCCCTTGCAGTGTGGGCACTCCTTGCGTTGGGCTTCAACTGAGCCATCCTTGCCGATCTTGAAGAGCTTAAGGATTTTCAGCTTCTCTTTCTTGCGCTGGTGTGGAACACGCTTCTTGGAAACGAAGTTCTTTTTCTTCCTCTTCTTCTTCTTGCCGCCATCATCAACTTCGAATTCGTCAACAACGGAGTTTTCGAAAACTGTGCCGGCAAGTTCAAGACCAGTGATTGCCTTGAGTTCCTCAAGAGTGAGTCCTTCTGGGACTTCAACTGTAAAGAATTTACCATTGAGGCTGCGAATGAAAACTTGCATTTGTAATTAATGGCTGTCAAAACCGGAAAGAAAAGGTGACTTTTTTGGTGTCCAAAAAAATTTAGATCATAATTATCATAAGATAAATTGATTTCTTCTGAGTTGTGCCAAAAATAAAAAACAATGAGTTATATAGCTAGAGATGCAGATTTAATAGATGATATATGATACTAAGCATGCTTTGCATTACAAATTGAATCACAATCTCATAAGGTAGCCCTCCTATTCAATTTGTAATGTTAAATTAACATGATCTAGCATGAAAAAGAATTAATTAATTGATAGAATAAAATTTACAAACAAATTTTATAAAGTTTAGAAGGAAATCTTCTTATGCGTTCACCACGTCTTAAGAAATTAGACTCGGAAATATCTTTTGAGATGTGTGCTTTCTTTGTGTTGATTCGAGGTAAGGGTTGTCGCTTCGATTTAAGAATAAGATCATCACTCTTTGGGTGGATAAGTCTTTTGTGTTGATAGTAATCAAAAAGGGATAAAATATCTTGTGCAGTTGGTCTCTTCTCTGGATCAAAAACTAAGCATTGTTCAAGAATTTGTTTTATGAAGCCGGTGGTTTGGTTATCAATTTCAAGTTTTTTGCTTGCCATTTGGTTAATAATGTGTGCATCACTATTTTCTTCCCATGGGAACTTCTTTGTGCAGAAGATATGTATCGTTACTGCCAAACTCCAAATATCTGCTTGAATGGCATTGTATTTCGGAGAGGAAATTACTTCTGGAGCAATGTATAAGAACGTTCCGCACAATGTTTTAGAGGCCATGCCATTTTCCTTTGCCAAACCGAAATCAATTAACATTGGTCTGTAATTGTCATCAAAAAGTATGTTTTCTGGTTTAATGTCTCGGATCCAAATTCCTCTTTGATGAAGATAGTTGACAGCATCAACTATCTGATGGATTGCAGAGAGCTTTTCATTAAACGTAAAATGTGTTCCATTTGTGAGGACATTGATAAGATCTCCGTTCTTATAATAGTCCATAACAATCATGATGTACTCCGGCTCATAGATAACATCAAGAACTTTAACAATATTCGGATGATCAAATCGTGAGTGCAATCTCATTTCATGTTCTAAGAAGGAAATCATATTGTTTTCAGTTATGTATAATCTACTATAGATTTTTATGGCAACCTTCTTTTGTGATTTTGGATCGATTCCAAGAGCAACTTTAGAAAATCCACCAGATCCAATCTGGGCAATGATTGTATACTTTCCTATATTGGAAGGGATGATGATTTCTGGGTATTGGGCATCTCCATTGTTGAATGTCATTTAAATTAATGATATTACTGTAATCAATTGAAAAAATATTGAAAATTTTGAAATCATTGAAAAAAGAACCGTTTTGTGAAAACGGTAATGTGATTTTTATATAAGTTTTGGTTTATGAAAGTTGATGATTATGAATGTTTCGAACGCATGGTTTTATTTTTTGTGTATTCTTTGAATTTTAAATTTGTTTACACGATAGATTCAAAAATCCAAACGCTTTTGAATGATTTTTCAAAAATCAAATATGTATTTATACTATTAGTACTATCAGAAAAACAAAAATTATATAATAATTATATAACTCATTGAAAATTTTGAATGTATCGAAATGAATGCAAACGATAATAATATTTTATCTTAGTGATTTCATGATTTATACCGTACAAATACACACTTTATGTTTAAGAATTTGATAAACTCACAAAAATTCTCTGAAAATTGAATTCATTCAATTTTTTAAAACCCAAACATCCTTATCTTAGTTTACTTATTAATATTTATCAATTTCATAAAAAATTCAATAAAACTTTTATGCAAAAACATGACAATAATTAAAGTTGATTCTTATTAAATAAAATTGAATATTTATAGTCTTAAATGGCAGAACCAAATGAAATTTTTATCCAACCGATTATTCAAATTATGAAAAAGTAAAAATTGCAATTTAATAAAAACTTATGCTATATTATAATACAGTATTGCATAATATTAAAATTTTATTAGAAAATAAAAGCTAAACCACATTATTATCCTCCTAAATAAATTCGTTCAATCTAAAAAAGAAGAGTAGCGAAAATGTTACACTACACTATATTTAGGCACTCTTTGAAACTATGTTAAATCGAAGAATTATTAATAAATTATATGTTTTTCATATAAAATATTCTTGAGGAAAAGAACATGGTAATCTTTAACGTTGAACTTAGTCCATTCACCAAAAAATCAACATTTAGAATGGTAATATATGTCAAATTTAACATAATCAAAAAAATATCTTAAAGATCCTTTTCTCGTAAAACCTTTATAAATAAAAGTAATATACCACATTCTATTAAGGATCATAATTACAAATAAGGATGCAAAACAGGATGTTTAAGTTAAATTCAAAATTTCAAAATAATATTTTCCCTGCCCACTTTGATTTTCTCAATTTGTTTACTGTTTCCACATTTATCCAACCTTAAGTGACTTGACTTAATTAATGTTGATCCATTAAAAGAATATAATTGATTATTTTGGTGAATTAACAAATGTTTTATAGTCAATCGATATCCTTATTTGGATTCCAAGAAATATGAAGTCAATATATACCATGGCATGCAGGATATAAAAATTCATTTAATAAACGAACCATGTATTAGAATTTCTTTCATTAAAAGCTTAGATAGTAAAGATGGAGCAACGAGCGTCAATTGGAGCCATATATATATGATCATGTTATGTAAACTAGTTTCAATTTTCTGATGTTTACAATTATTGATACAGAGACGAGGGGATGATCATCAATAATTGTAGCCTATACTTTGGAAAAGTAGTATTTTTAGCTCTAACTACGTTGATCTCAGATCTCTCGCTTCATTATAATTATATGAACTCATGATATCTTCCTATTCACCAAATGAAAAATAATCCAAAAACTTTTTTTTTAGATTTCAAAATAAACAAACAAAAATAAATAAAAATTTGAAAAAGTTTCTAAGCTGAGTTTTGTGCATCGATTCTTTCCCATTCCTTTAGATTTGCATTTACAGAATCCAAAGACTTATTTAGTTCAGGGAAAATCCTTGCAACTAATGAGTAAAGAGGAATACAAACAGCTTTGTAGAAACCAATCTGTCCCTTTGCTTTGTTCTGTCCTTCTCTCGACATCAAAGGTGAAGAATAACTCAGTTCGTGTTGTTTCTCCATATCTCCTTGTCTCCAGAACTCATCTTGCAGGACATCACACCATTTATCAGCAATGAAGAAAGGTCTTGATACATTAGAAATGTCTGCGACCTTCATAATCATTTCCATGCAACACAATCTGTCATTTTCACTTTCCATGTCAAGATTTCGAGATGAAATTGTGTCATTCATCTCTTTAATCAGTTTAAAGTGCTTTGCCATATCAGTTGCAAGTATAAGATGTATGATCCAGCTCCAAACATTGGAAAGATCATTGTCATTTAGAGAATAAAACAAATTAGTGTCATCTTCCTGCAAAATCTTTATGGCCATAGCACAATGGAAGGTTTCCATGACGGATGTGTCCTTAAAAAGTATTCCAAACGGTGTTTTCACATTGATATTGTAGGCATTGTTGAATCCTTGGTGTCCTACATCATGGCAGAGTGCTGCGACAAGTACAGATAACAATTCTTGGCTCTTTAAGTGGTTATGACTGTTTGTCAGTTTAATTTCGTAAGAAACATACTGCAAAACGTCAATTGCATGTGTCCAATTGTGGTAAGGAGGATTGTTATAGTTACGACGTAGTTTAAGAAGGAATTTAAGGAAAAGAGAAGATGAAATTTGGAATTTTTCGAGAATTCCAAATTCATTGAAGATTTTGAACGCAATTTCGAATAATCCGGTACCAATGTAATCAATGGTATAGAACTCTAGGTCAAATATGTTGGAAATCTTCGAATTTTCCAGTTTTGAAGGGATAATAAATTTATTTTCTTCATCTTTCGAAATAAACTGGGAAACTTCGTCATCTTGTTGTAGAGAATTATTTTCTTGTGTCTTAAACTGATCGTTTTCGACAACGAAGCTGATAAATTTCGAAAATAATGATAAAATTTTAATATCTGTCTGGGAAAACTGGTTTTGGTCCTCCTTGTTGCTGAGTTGTATTGCGGCAACAACATCTTCTTCATTGTTAAGGATGGGATACGATAAAACTGACTTAATTTCGTAATTTGATTTTTTATCAAGGGAATCATCGTAATCTTTGTCTTCTGAAGCGTTCTCTATATTGAAAACCTTCTTCTCGTTGAATGTTCTCCCTACAATTCCTTTGTCTTTCGCTACAAAATGGTTTGTTATGTTCATATTTCCTTCAAAAGCGATAATTTGATAGGAATTGTTGTTGGCATCATTGGTATATAGTACTGTTCTGTCTGATTTGGTCAATTCTGTGATCGCTTTAAGTGTTTCGTTTAATATTGAAATATTATTATCTTCTTTCGAGATTTTCTCGAACATTTGGATGATTCGTGGCTCTGTATTGCTTGTAGAGTTGTTTATCTTCATGCAATTCTGTATAGATGTTGCCAAAAATGGTAAAATAATTTTGGAATTTTCTTCATCGCAATTTGTGAAGATAGGAAGTTTTTGAGAGCCACGTAAGACCAACGACCACTTTTTACCGGAAAGAACGTCAATGTGGACATTTACCAAAATGTTCTCACTTTGGGAGCCATCTGTGTCCGGGGAGTAAGCCTTGTGCCACTTGGAGTTCTGTTGGTTGAGTTGGCACTCGTTTATAAGGCAATAACCAACAATTCCGGAATTCTTGAGTTCCATTGGTTTTTGAGTAGTTGTAAAGCATTGTAACATCTGTAGTTTTGTATCGAAACACCATATCTCTGCGAATCTGCACTTAAAGAAATTTATTAATTTTTCTGACATATCTAGAAGGAAATCTTCGAGTTTTGAGGCAACCATTAAATCCTGGATCAAGTCTAGAGGGTTTTCGGTTGGAAGAAGCCACTTGGAATAGAGTCTGAACTGTTGTGTGAAATATTCTATGAATTCTTCAATATCTTGGCCAAAGAATGGATCCCTTGGTGGCCTCGTGGCTTCAACAACAGCTACAACGTTGTCCCTGAAGTCCCACAACGGGAAAAGTAAAACAGGAGTGTCATTTGGACAAATCTGCTGGTCTGATTGAACAGTCCATGCGCTGTGCTTTTGCGCATGATCTGTTTTGACTAAATGACGTGATGAATATGTGTGTCCGACTAATCCGTCTTGATATGAAACGGATTTTTCTAATTTACGTGAATAAAGTTGTTTTACGGATGGAACATCTTGCCAGAAAATAACATTTGATGCTTTCGTAATACTGGCGATCGTTGATTCAATGGCTACGTGTAATTCTGTGCTATAGCAACTTTGAATGAATTGTGTGAATAAACGACCGAATTTATCTGTTTGTGATAACTTGTCTTGAAGGCGGGCAACGCCAACTTGGCTTTGGTCACTCGGAGTATCACATGAATTGTATTTCGGTATTTTCAATTTGTCTGAGTCATTTAACGGTGGTAATTTTGTCACGTTACTTGGAATACCACGAAGGCCAAAAGGAATTGATAATTTCGATGATCTACGTATTTTTTCACCAATATTTGCGTGAGAACCAGTTGGTCTCAAAGGAAAACAATTAACACTTGACACTTCCATGTCTCTATTTGAATGTGTCATCTCAGCAGCTCCCATATTTCCTAAGGGAATAGAGGAGAGCCCAAGACTCATAAAAAATCTAGAACGAACTTTTGAAAGAATTGAGATGATAATATAATGTTACAAAAAAATTGCGAAAATACATTATATGAATGATGCAGATATTTATTGACAATACACCATAATACACTTTTGAAAAGAAAAAGCAAACATCTGAATGAAAAGAATTCCCACATTATTTATTTAACTTCCAATAATCTTTAAAAATTGTGTTAATAATCGATCAATTTGAATAAAAATTTTTTACAGATGTATTATTTAATAAGATACATATAAACAAAATATAAAATTTACTGTTTAACATTTATTTTCAAATTGAAATATGTAGTATTCAATTTTAAATTTTTTTTGAAATTATAATTTTTTAAATTTGAATTTATCTTAGATACTTATTGTTATATGATAACTTATTTTCAATCAAATTACAAATCACATTGAAATAATTCAATATGGATTCGTGATCGAATATTTTATTATTTACTACTTATATAATTCACTATTTCAATTTCTTATAAATCTTTATGGTTCATTCAATTTGATAATTTTTTGATTCTTAGTAATGATTTATATAATAGAATCTGATTTCATAAGACCAACTTTAAATATTTTTCAATGCGCTTTCAAAAGTTCTATTCTAATTTTGATAAATAATCCATTCAAAAAACGTGACATTTTTTTAGATAATTCTGGTCGCTAAACAACAAAAAATACTTTTTTCCAAATAAATTTTCATTTTGATTGCACAACCTTATATACTATATATTTAATAGTTAGACAATCAGATTTTCATTCTTTCTCCAAAATCTATATAATATCTCACATTCACTGAAAACGGTGAGTAAGAATAGATATATTGATTTGTATTAGAAGACTCAAAATAATATGCTGATTGTTGACCAGACATTGTGTTAACTGAATAATTATATTTGGAAGACCAAAATGATTTCTTTATGAAGAAAACTAATATATTTTGTGGTCCATTTGTTGATGAAAGAATTGATGAATCATCTGTGTAATTATCTTCGCGTTTGATTCCTGCAACATTTGACATAACAACAATCTGTTCGCATTTTGTCATACAAATGACTTTTATCGGTGTTGAATCAATTTTAAGTGTTTTTAGTTCATCTGAAAAAATGACTTCAACTTTTTTAGCATCTTTAAATGCAGGAAGACAACCATCAACATCAAATATTCCTGATAGTTCATATTCAACACTTTTTTCCATATCAATATGAACACAAGTCCCATAATTTTCATGGATATCAGTAAAATATAGATTTCCTTGATAGTAACCATAACTTGATTGACTAATTCTTTTTACATAATGTGTTGGTTTATTTGCATAAGCAATTATTAAATGTGAGTTTGTTAATTGTGGCAATTCATAAGTAAAATCTTTAACATTGATAACTACACTTACATGCATATCAGATGAATAACGTTCTGAAATACCATTATATTGAAGAACTAAATTTGGCTGGCGACCTTTTATTCTAAGTAAAATTGATTTTTCATATTCATGTTCATTTTCATTTATTAATGAATAAACAGGCTTCAAAGGTTCTCCATTTTCGAGCATAAACATATTTGCATTTCTGAATACAGCAATTGTTATATATGAAGGCCAAGCCCTAATTTGAATTGTTTTTACTTCATCGTTTGTAAATTGAAGAGTTAATTCATCATTAGATACATATGGAGGCAAGACAGCATCAATTTGTCTGACATATCTTGCTTCATTTATTTTAATTGCTGATTTAATTTTTTGTTTATGCATATCTCGAGACAAATTGGTTGAATGAAGTGTATGAGTATGATTTTCTTCGATCGATAACAAATGATGAAATAGTAAGTGAAGCATTAAAAATTTTAAAATACGTGATTATATCAAAATTCTGAAGGCGCCGTTATAATTGAAAACTACAATCTATAAATTAATGAAATTATAATGAAGAATGCTTTTATAAATATTTTTCAGATTCAGATTTTAAAGGAATTTACGATATCGTCTCGTAAAAGTGGAATTCGGATCAAAGAAAAAACAATTGAGTTTACCCTAGAAGCAAAGGAATAATTTTATTATTCAGATGATGAAAATATTCTATATTAACGAAGCAAAGAGAAAATGTTCACATACTTATGTTCATAAGGCGTGAATCTTTACGAATCAAATTGAGCTTACATTTAATAGGAGATGAAATCAAATCAGCTAACTCAATCTTATAAGGATGTATCAAAATGTTTTATCCAATGATCACAATTCGCGATATTTGGACTACGTTGAATCTTAAATCAGGAAAAGTTTACTTCAAAGCTTGTGTATGCAAGAAACCAAACTACAAAAAATTATAGACTCTCAAAATAATCATAAACAAGAATTGCACAGGTCTTACAGATTTTTATGTTTCTCCGATGTTCAATGGCAATCCAAAACACGCATTCCCAGATTTCATACCGATCGTCCCTACAGAAAACATCTTAAAGTGTCATTTGCTGATTCAATTTTATCATGTTGAAGAAAATTCTAAGATCAAAGAGAAAGCGATCGATACAGCAGTTATTCCATTAAGTTGCATCTCAGGTAATAACAACACATCTGTAGAAGTCGAGCTTTTCTCAGAACCAGGCAAAGTTTCTAAAGATGCCAACGTAACTCTGCAAACTCCAAAGAAATCAGAAGGTTTGTCATTACAGATCACTATCCCTCCATTCTACTTCCCTCCTCAAAACATGGCTACCGCATTGACTGATAATTTCGATATTCCAAGTTTGTCTGGAATTGACGAGTCATATGCTGATCTTTACATCATCCCTCTTTTCTGCCGACTTATTAAGAAGCGCGATTCTAAAGTTCTCCCAACATTGGTTAAATTATTGATCACATTTGGCGATGGCGGTAGAACATCACTTCGAAAGTGGTTGTTCAATCATTTCGATCCACAAACAATTGGTGATGACTTCCCAACATTCTATCCGGAAGCGATTAAAGCATTTTGTCATGAAATCATTGAAGGAAAGATCGAAACAACAATCATTCCGGACTTTTCAACATCTTTACCACTTATTCTTGACATTATGCAGATTGTTTTCTCCGATGGCAAACTTCAATCAACAGCTCAAGACTTAATTACGATTAACAACTCACTTCTTGACTTGATTTGCTTCTTATTGACTGAGGATATTGATTGCAATTCCATTACAGAGTCATTGGGACTCTTCTTCTTCCATAATCTTTCAGATCTTGGAAATGAAGAAATCGTACGATTCGTTTACACATTCCTTCGAACTATATCTAAGGTCAGACCCATAATTGCACATCCAATGTCAGCTACACGAGTTCAATGGATTTTCTTATCTCCATTATCTCTTTCTAAGCACTTCTTGATCAACATGACTAACAACATGAAACCATTATCAACGAACGCTATGTATTCACCTTATTCGAAACTTACATCACAATTTTTGTTGTCGACTCAACAATGTTTTGGCGGTCGTGATCCCGATACATTTGCACTTTGTGCAGGCTTTTTAGCCAGATTGTTATCTAACTTAGATGAGATTTGTTATAGTATTCGACAACGAATCGCATTTGCTTTATTCCCTCTTATTGATTTATGTTCTAATCATTTTGAATCCCCATTATTTATGTCTAACAAACGAATGCAAATTGCATTGATTCCATTTGTTTTATTCTTAATCAAGAACAGTGAACAGAAGCAGTTATTATCATTCTTCCATTCATTATCTATCTCATTCAAGTGTCATTTCATTTCATTCCTTAAATTGACCGGAAAAATCATCATTGACACATTGGATGTCATCAAACCAACATATGAATGTCCACAAATTAACTTGAATCTTCTTGATTTGCTGACACATATTTACATCAAATTTTTGTTTGACGTCAAATCAGAATTAGGTGTTTGCATGAACGAAGTCATCCAGTTAATTGAAGTTTTGTTGTGTCGATACCAACCAACAGATAACTACAAGTATTTGTATTTACTTTGTGATTCATTATTCGAATCATATCCATTAGAACGTAATTTCATCATCATGTCTACTAAATTAATTATGTACAAACAAGCAAAATCACGTGCATTGAGTACCGCATTGATTATTAACAGTTTCAAACAAGATTACAATCGATATGAACAAGTTAATGTTTCCACACTTTCATTCATTGATGAATACGCAACAATTCTTTTAGAAAACAAAGTTTCAATGATTCCTATGTTTAAAGAATATATTTTGATAATTAAAGAACTTACACCAGACAATAAATCACTTAAAAAGAAAGTTAGTGATCGAATGGATTCTGCTTTATCCATTGCAGATATTGTTGAAAAACAGAAATCATCAAAACAAGCATTGTCCATTCGTTGTCAACAATTAATGTCATTGGCTGATGAAAACATGGACTTTCCAAACATGCGCTTAAAGTGGTTGAGTGAATTAGTTCGTATCAATATCGAATCCGGTGATTATATCTCAGCGTTTGTTTCACAATTACATTGTACATGTTTAATTGCTACGGTTGTTGAACATCGTTCTAAACATGAAAAACTCGAAAATAAAAAGAAGAACGAACGATTGCCTAAACCACCCGGTTTCCATTTATCAACGACACAACCAATCAGAACGGCAAACAATGTCTATGATTACGGCCGATCTAGAACATATCAAGAATTCTTCTTCATTCCTTCAGTTCAAGTCGAAACTAAAGTTAAAGTTGATGCAGGAATGCCGATGCCGAAATTTTGTTGTCTGATTTTAATGAAAATCTTTTGATTGAATATTTGAATTCATCTGTTTGGTTATGCGAAGAAGCACAGTTATATTATACATTGCGCGGTTTGTCATCAATGGCATTACGTGTTCTTTATCAGAACCGCGATTACGGCCGGTCTAAAGAAATCTGTTCTAAATTGTCCAATTATTTGTCTAGTATTTCTACAGGAAACACAGTTGGTGTCAGTGTTCCATTGTCATTCTTCATGGTGAACGAAGACAAGGCGCAAGAAAGATCAACGAATATACTGCTGCAAGAAGACGGAAACAATCCATTTTGTTCAACAACTGAAGAATCGCGAAGGAATTGTTTGTCCAACAGATTATTGCGATCATCATGAGGAATGCAAAGGTGATGGTATTTGTTTGATCCAATTAGAGCCATCGGATGATAAAATCGAAGGTGATGAAGCTCCTCATTCATGGGATAAGTTCCGATCAGTTGTTTCTATCAATAAACAATCACAGAAATCATCTGAAGAACTGAAGAATCCTATTAAAACTCTTTACATCGAAACATCAGAAAAATTACCATTTTATCATCAAGGTGTTTCTATCAAGAAGATCGAGATCCAGGAAGTTCGTGTTAAAGAATTATGTGTTAATACATTGAACCGAGCATTCACATCTCTTGATCAACTTGTCAAAGACTTCGATCCATATCTTTCTATGCCCATTGGTGCATTCAAGGATTCACCAATGGTTATTTTCGGAAAAGATCTTTGTCGATACAAAGAAATGCTTTATACAACATTGCAACATCCTAACTGTGCACGTGACTGTTTGAGTTTTATCAAACAAAAGTATCCAGAACTTCTTGAAGAAAACGTTTCTAAGTTCTCAGAATGTCTTGTTAAAGCACTTAAACAACATCGAAGAGCAGTGAACGAACTTTTGATTGAATTTGAATCCGGTGACGAAATCGATAAAATCAAATCCGATCTGGATGATTGCACAGAAATGATCAACAAGTTCTGCAAAGACTTCGAAGTTGATATGATTGACAATCAAACAGTTTATGAAGGTATTGTTGATCCAATGTCATCATTTTGTGCATATGAAAATGAGTATGATTAAAAACATAATATTTTTTTTAATATTTTAAAGTTTATTATAATGTGTTAAAAGATCACTGCCTTAGTTTACAACTTAACACCCGAAGATATTTTTCTCCTATGAAAGAACTGATATTTTTGGATTTATCTCTAAAATACAAACTACGCCAGACTTTCAAAATCATCCCTTTAATTTAGAATTAATTCCCAAGACTACTATAAACAGAATTTAATAATTTTTACAATATTTCTATTTGGTTTACAACATTATACATGAAGTTACCATTGACTATGATCGAATTGATATCATTATTATTTCTATATTTTTCTCGTTATTTGTTTGAAAAATGCAGAAGATATGAAAAATTATTAATTTTTATGACGTACTAATAAACAAAATAGAAATATGATATTTACCAAAAAGAAAATTTATAAGTTTAAAAGAAGAACAAATTTTATTTTCTTTCTTTGGTACAAATAATAATACTATTTCAAGATTTCCTTCACATGGACGTAATCCAATGAATGTCAAATTATTCTGAAATGAAACTTCTCCTTTTTCTGATGTATCAACAGGTCCATCAGTTGATAAATCATCAATACTACATCGATGTATATAAATCTGTTCACCATTTGCTTCAAATAATTTTCCTTTGTTAATCTGAGGATTGTTTTGGAAAGATGAATCGAAAATATCAAGTTTATCAGTTGTCGAAACAATTCCCCAATTTTTATGATTTTGAGAATTATTTATATAATTACATCGGTCAATTCTTCCTGGACATTTCCAAAACGAAGTAATCAATCCGTCAGTTGCGTTTAAATTCTCAAAATTACAAAATGAAACATTTACTGTTGATTCAACATAAGCATAACAAAAACCTGGATTTTGATATGTAATACAGTTAGAAATGTTTGTTTTTGAAAGTGATCCAAAACCATATTGCTGGCAAATCATACATGCTACTGAACTATTTCCTCCATTACAAATTGATCCTTGGAGGATTGTACTGTT